CGGAATGCTGCGCCACGCTGCCCCCCGCCACCCCCAAGATTGGCCGCCCCTTACCAAGTGCCACCCCTAGCATGTGCTTGGTTGCCTGGTGCCTGGAGCCGGCCCTGGTTCTATAATAGCCTCGTGGACAGGGCCGGCTCTAGGTTTTTTGCCGCCCCAAACAACAACAACAAAAAAAAACCTCCGAGAGCGCAACTGCTGAAGCAAAAGGAAAAAAACCGTCCCAGAATGCCATCCTGGAATTGTGCCGCCCCAAGCACATGCCTGGTTTTCTGGTGCCTAGAGCTGGTCCTGCTCGTGGATTATTCCTGTACAAATATTTTCCTTCCCCCGCCCTCCCCGCCCCCGAGTTGCCAACCTTCCTGGCTTGTACTAAGGGAAAGCACACATTTCTTAAGAACGAGGGTATTTTGTTTCTCTCTTTCTTTGGTGCTTCAAAATCATACAAGTGTTTATAAGGCCCTGAATTCTGTTGTCAAGGATTTAGCAGAGATTTGTCATACTTCTTTACGTGAATCCCTTAGCAAAAGTGGTATAGGAATATGTTGCTTTGTAAGGCATTATATTCTGGTTGGATATGAAGAAAGTGGTGGGGGGGAAATAATTATACAATTTACAGTTCCTAGATTAGGATTCATTACAATAAGCAAATGAATCATCCAAACAGTTACAGTGATAGTATAGATTAAATTTTACTTTGGATCTTGGTGTGCTTATGGGATGAAGTGGGTTTCTAAACACCCTGTCTTGGTTGTTAAATTTTATTTTCCCAAGAAGTTAGACCTAGAAAGCTTGGGCCTCAACCCTGACAAGTTTTGCAGTAACACAAAGCTGCTTTAAAGCTGAATGATCTGGCAGCCCCCAGAAATAGGGGAATCCATAGATGGTGTAAGTCTGCCATAAGTCTGTGCCACATCACTTAAGGCCCCAGGGTAGGGTGTATATCAGTGGGCGGAGTAACAACCGGAGTACAGTAGGCTGCACTCTGTTGATTCCTACCTGCCACAACAGCTCTTTGGGGTTGTATTGTAAATAGTAGGAACAGCTTGAAGAGGCTTGAATTGACCTGTTGTGGCCCCAGAGATGAGGGGAGATGTAAAAATTGAACAGGAAAAATATAAATGTATAAAAAAACAAAAAAAGTACATAAATCATCATTTATATATATAAATATAAACAAACCATAAAGTAGTAAACGGAATTGTTCATATGTATTCATCACTGATAGCAGCAACCTTTGCGCTGTAACTCTTGTTGCCCTTCCCCCACCAACAGCCGACATTCTTCTGTCTCCAACTCTTACATTATGTCTAGGGTGACCAGATGTCCCGATTTTATAGGGACAGTCCCGATTTTTGGGTCTTTTTCTTATATGGGCTCCTATTACCCCCCACCCCCATCCTGATTTTTCACATTTGCTGTCTGGTCACCCTAATTATGTCCAGGGGCAGCTCTATGTATTTTGCCACCCCAAACACGACAGTCAGGCAGCCTTCAGTGGCATGCCTGTGGGAGACCCGCTGGTAACGTGGATTCGGCGGCATGCCTGCGGTAGGTCCGCCAGTCCCGCGCCTTCAGCGTACCCGCCGCCGAATTGCCGCCAAAACCGCAGGACTGGCAGACCTCCTGCAGGCATGCCACCGAAGGCAGCCTGACTTCCGCCCTCACGGCGACTGGCACGCCGCTCCCCGCGGCTTGCCGCTCCAGGCACACGCTTGCTGCGCTGGTGCCTGGAGCCGCCCCGATTATGTCTGAACTGAAATGGTAAGAGAATTTGGGCCTGAGCCTACTCTTACATTGCTGTAATGCCGGAGTAACCCCACTGAAGTCAATTGAGTTAAATTTAGTTTCCCAACTTTCTGATTGCAGAAAACTGAACACCCTTGCCCTGCCTCTGCCTCACCCACTCTGTAAGGCCCCGCCTCCACTTCTCATCTCCCCTCCCTCCCTCACTATTCCTCACCCTCACTCACTTGCTCATTTTCACCAGCTGGGGGAAGGGGGTGGGGTGTGGAAGGGGCTGAGGGCACTGGCTGGGGGTACGGGCTCTGGGGTGGGGCAGAGGGTTGGGGTGCGGGAGGGAGTGAGGGCTCCAGCTGGGGGTGTGGGCTCTGGGATGGGGCTGGGAATGAGGGTTTTGGGATGCAGGAGGAGGTTCCCGGATGGAGGGTGGGGCTGAGGGGTTCGGAGTGCGGGAGGGGGTGTGGGCTCTGGGAGGGAGTTAGTGTGAGGGAGGGGGCTCAGGGCTGGGGCAGAGGGTTGGGGCATAGAAGGGGGTTTTGATGTGAGCTCCGGGCAGCACTTTCCTTCGGTGGCTCCCGGAAGCAGCTGGCATGTCTCTGTGGCCCCTAGGGGGAGGCATAGCCAGGCGGATATGCGTGCTGCCCATGCCCACAGGCCCCGCTCCTGCAGCTCCCATTGGCCACGGTCCCCAGCCAATGGGAGCTGCAGAGCCGGCGCTTGGGCTGGGGGCAGCACGCGGAGCCTCCCTGGCCGCTCATGCGCTTAGGGACTGCAGGGACATGACAGCCACTTCTGGGAGCCGCACAGAGCCAGGGTACACAGGGAGCCTGCCTGCCTTAGCCCTACTGCACTGCTAACTAGACTTTTAACGGCCCAATCAGCGGTGCTGACCGGAGCTGCAGTGTCCCTTTTCGACCAGGCATTCCGATCGAAAACTGGATGCCTGATAACCCTAGTTAAACTGGTGTGAGGTCAGAGTCAGGTCCCACTTATTTCATTTGCCTGTGAAGTATGTATTGCACTATAAAATTATGATAATAATCATAGCATTCTCACTCTCATCGCATTCAGGTTATTTTATTTTTAACAAAATAATCTGCAATAACAATGCAATATGAGCAGATGCAAGACTTTTTCATGAGGATGACAGTTTGATAAAATGAGGGAAAGACAGAAAATGATGCAAATGGGCATGTTATGTTTGTTTTCCTTCTGTAAATTCTTGAAATCCTGGAAAACCTGAGGACCAGTGTTTAAATCAGTCTCCTTGTAGGACCAGCACTTACTCCACCTATTAGTTTGGCATGATAAGAGGATCATGTTACACGTGATGAATTAGTCTTCAACAATATCTCCAATGTCATGCACAATCCAGACTTTTCTTTAACATTAAGCATATGTGTCTTATATTTCCAAGTTCTTTTTTACCTGCACACATATCCATGGCAACTACAATAATAAAATCCCCCCCCTCCATTAACGTCTGAGATACCCATTGTCTATCCCACAACATGTGAGAGTCCTGGCAGAGTGCAGAATTCTGTTCTAATCTGATCTGATCCCTCAGGAGCTCTTTAATGAACTTAAAATCAAAAAGGAACCCTACAAAAAATGGAAACCTGGACAAAAGAATAGCACAAGCATGTAGGGACAAAATCTGAAGGTACATCTACACAACAATTATACACCCATGGGTGGTCCGGGTCAGCTGACTCAGTTTCTGGGGCTGTAAAATTACTGTGTAGATGTTTGTATTCAGGCTGGAGCCTGAACTCTTGGACCCTGTTAGTGTAGAAGGTCCTACAACCCAGGCTCCAGTCTGAGCCTGAATGTCTATACAGCAATTTTTAGCCCCACAGCTCGAGCCCACTGATCTGCCCAGCTGCGGCTGTGTCATGGGTCTTTTATTCCAGTGTAGAGGAATCCAGAAAGGCTAAGGAACAAAATTAATTACATCTAACAAGAGACATAAAAGACAACACGAAGACATTCTTTAAATATATACATACATACATATATGCATCATTTAAAAACAAGGAGCAAGGGAAAGGTGAAGGAAAGTGCATGACTTCTACTTAGTGGGGAAGGAGAGCTAATAATGGATGACATCAAGAAGCCTGTGGTGTTTAATGTCTGTGTAGTTTCAATCTTTACTAAAAAGATAAATTTTGAACAGATACTTAAGACAAATAATATTAGCAACAAAGGGGAAGGAATGCAAGCCAAAATGGGGAAAGAACAAGTTAAAGAATGTTAAGATCAATGCATTCAAGTTGCAGAACCTCACTAGGTTCTTTCTCACCCTACATTTCTTAATATATTGGATTTATATCTCTCTATTTATTTTCAGAATATATGCAGTGTGTATAGCTGCAATGCAAGCTCTCCTACACTGTTCTGTCAATATGCCAGAATACTGGCCTGTAGGGCTCACCTCTAGGGGGAATCATAGAAGATTAGAGTTGGAAAAGACCTCAGGAGGTCATCTAGTCCAACCCCCTGCTCAGAGCAAGACCAACCCCAACTAAATCATCCCAGCCAGGCTTAGTCATGCTGGGCCTTAAAAACCTCTAAGGATGGAGATTCCACCACCTCCCTAGGTAACCCATTCCAGTGCTTCACCACCCAACTAGTGAAATAGCTTTTTTCTAATAGCCAACCTAGACCTCCCCCACTATAACTTGAGACCGTGGCTCCTTGTTCTGTTATCTGCCACCACTGAGAACAGCCTAGCTCCATCCTTTTTGGAACCCCCCTTCAAGTACTTGAAAGTGGTTCAGTTTCCATGCCCAATTAATCCTTGGCTATCTGCTGATATCCTGAACAAAGGTGCCCATATGATGCCAAATGTAAATAATAGTAACTTTTGTGATCTGGACACCTGTCCACTAGAAAGTAGGCTGAAATCTCCAATTCATTTCACACAGTTCATTGAACAGCCCTCGTATGACAGTGACAGAAGTACTACTGACCTTATCCAGGTTACAGCTAGAGACCCAGTAGTGATTGGTTTCCATTACCCATCCTCTGAGTCCCGTGTGGGACGTGGTGAGAATATTACATACTCATAGTCATCTTGGCATAGGGAAATTCCTTGTGCCCTTGAAAAGCAACAGAGGGTCCTGTGGCACCTGATACTTGTGTCCTTAATCTTTCATGAAGTCACAAATGCAAGAGAAAGATAAGGTGCATTTACTGCTTTTTTTTAAGTGGATGGGCAGTGTGACAATCAATAGTACGAAGTAAATAAACATGGGTGATATCTGTGCTGAATAAGTTCACCCATCTATAAGTCTTAAGTCAAAAATATCTCCAAGCATTTCAAGCATCTTCTTTGTGGCAAAATGGCTCTTAGATTGTTTACACCTGCCCTGCTGTGCTGAGAAATAACAAGAGAAGAGAGATTTATTTAAGTTATAAAAGTCAGAAGGAACCAAAAACACCTTTTTTTTCATAATCATGTTAATTTTTGTGTTTTTATTTTTGCACAGGGACAGAAATAACATGTACTGTAGCACATATGAACAGTATTAGTAATGTTGTGATGCAGCAGCTGCACAGATTTTATTGCAGACATCCTCATAAATCTTGGTCTCCGACTATAAAGCAGTAATATGCTACAGCTGGCATATACTTATAATTTTTAATGTGGAAAAATGAGTAAAACTGCTCCAGCGGGGTGCATTAATGATGATTAAATCTTCTACGGGAAGTCAGGGGACCTTTTAAACTGTCTGTCGTGTCATCTTTCATTCCAGAAGCAAGTGAATTGAAAAGCTAACTTTAATCTCATACTTCACGAAAACACTTATGCTCATGCTTAACTTTACACAAATGAGTTGTCCTATTCACTGTAATGGGACATCTCATGTACATAAAGTTAAGCAAATACATAAGTGTGTGCATGACCAGAGCCATAGAGTATTTATCCCTGTATATACAATGTCCCAGAGACACAGACAAGCAGATATTAGTATATGTAAGTATGTACAGGCATAGTGGTTTGTTATTATAGGGTTGCTTATAAATGCTTTGCTGCTGTCACTAATTTTTTGTTTAGATACAAGATCACTGGGCCATTCTTATGGGGGGGGGAGACTCTTTCCTGTATTTAAAATAAACAATAAACAAGAAAAAGAAGTAATCTGACAAATAGACACTAAGGGTAAATGGACAGGCCAAATTTATGGTTCGTTATACCTGACACAGCACTTCTAAAATTCTTTATTAGATTTAAAGAATGCAGATGACTCTGTAACATCTGTTCTAAATGTGGAAATTGTTGAAGAAATGTAATTGCAAAGCAGGTCACATTTTAATGAAAGGAGCAAAAGAATTCCAACAGCTTGTTTGTTATTGAGTTTTACATTCCTTTCACCTCAATAATAAACCAAAACCTGGCATTTACTGAGCCTCCAGTGGCAATGATATACTTGTTTATCAAAATTGCTTTCCAGAGGTATATTGACAAAGGAAATCGAACGTATACATGGACCGCTGTGAATGGCACAGATTACAGGTAATTAATCTGTTTTTTAATAGAAAGTGTTGGTTTGTTTGTTTTGATGAATAATTTTATTCTTATTAGTTATAACACTAAAAAGCCTAGGAACTGACTCTCTCTGTCCAAAAGAATGGAGAGACAAACATTGGTGCAGTGCATCTTCCTTGAGGATTTCCCTCTGCTCACCACCTAGTGAGATAAGGTCCAGTCCTGCAGGCATTAAAAAACAAAACAAAACAAAAAACCCCCACTCCCATTGCCCATGAGTGTTTTGCTGAAGGAAGCGTACAGAGTCAAGTCCTCAATCTTTTGTGGAGCTTTCTAAACAACTCGCATACTAGCAAAGTTTCACCATACTTACTAAGAAGATTGTGTGGTTCATGGTATCAATATTAAGTGGACCTTATCTTTTCAGGGATCTCATAAATTCTGTAAGACTCTTAAAATCTTTGTAGTGTTTGATTTGTAACTGTGTCTTTGGTTGTGGTCCTCTCCCTCAGCTCCTCTTCCAATCCCACCTTTTCTTGCAGTCTCTCCAACAATAATTTCCATTCCCACACTGGCCTTTGCAAGTAAAATTAAAAAAAATAAAATAAAAAAGGAAGCGCTAATGTTTCATGCATTTACAAAACAAGCAATATCTCAACCTTATTTTGTGTAAACCTCCTTCTCAATCTTATATTCATTATTTGTCATGTCATGTCATGTCATATCTAACCTACCGTGTCAGATTTTGGCAAGCAAGTACTGTGGTATTATCACTCTAATGTGCAGTTGCATTTAAGAGGCCATATACAAATGTTAAATAACAATTATATTATTTTGTATATAAAATTGTATGGCTATAGATAACAGCAGAGAAAGATAACACTCTTTGGAAAAGGTGCACCACACTCTCTCACAATTAGCCTGAAATGCATGATTTCAAACACTATAGCTACACATCGCTGTGACACTGGAAGGGATGCGACATCCCCTTCCTAAAGTATTTGGGCTGAACTTGGTCCAAGAAAGTTATCAGACTTTAGTTTCAAAGCTGAATACTTTTAAGATTACCAACATTGGGCCCAAATTCTATGAAGTTCTGAATGTCCAAGTTAGGGCACTCAGGACCTTTCAGGACTGGACAAATTGTCACAAAGCAGAATCACCGTCAGTGCAGTGTTTTGCCTATGTAGTGTGAAACTGGAAACAACATTGAAAGGATTATTTTATTTTAATAAAAATATGTAATATTGGGAGTTTTACCCACAATAATAATAGTTGCATTACTATGATGTCTAGAGACCAAGTTGGGGTAGTAGGCACTGTGCAAATATATAATGAATGACAGTCTCTGACCAAAATATTTTACAAAACAAACAAACAAAATACCACCCCATGAACCTAGTTGTTGTGAATTAAAACAAAGAGCTGGCTTGATCTATACAATTCAGAACCTTGTTTTTCTGTTGTTACCCCCATTTTTATTTTCTGAAGGAAAGCAGGGTATTTTTCATCCTATCGTGCTATCTACTACGCAGTACAGATGCTTATTTGATTTATATGTGTTCTCACTTCATACCAAATTCCTCTCATAGCTGTTTTTCATAGGCTGAGAGACAGCAGTTAATCTCCTGGGTTCACATTGCCGCAGTCCCATTAAACATAAAATTATAGATTTTAATTAGTAGTTTCTGTTAGCAATAACTGTTAATGGCAGGTAAACCTCTCCTGATTTCCCTCGAGGGGAACTGATAGAAGGCTATCACTAAATAATCAGGAATCTCACTTCTGTGATGTTTAAATGGCAAATGCATTATTAAAGGTAATCTTGCTTATGGCCCAGTTGTACAACTTCTTTTAATGTTAATTTCTGCAGCCATCCATTAGAAACCAGTGGTAAAATGCACTTTTATGTTAATGAAAATTGAGTGCAAACATTAAGGATGTGGGATGAAGTAGATACGTCTCTGATGGGGATTTATACCTGTTACCTTTAACATCCTTTTTTAAAAGTTCTGCTCTCAGATGCATTCATTGATTTTTAGTGGCAAAACCAAAAGGCAGAATCATTTCTAAACAACAGTGGATATTGAAATCAAAGGAGGTGCATTATAAAATATATTGTACTCTTAAGGCACTCTTATATAATCCAGTTCAAAGAATTGTTTTGTCCAGAAGTAACTGCATTACTTTAAGAAGATATTCTGTCTCTCAGAGATAATGTAAATTCAAGAACTACAAGTTTGTGCATTACATATCAGTAGCTGTCTTATTACTAAAAGGGGACTTGGTCATCATCATACTCTTTTCATAGCAATTCAGAATTATGTGAGATTTTTTTTCAGCTGTTCTTTAAGTCTAACTTTCAATGGATATAGCCATTAAAATTGTGACTGGCCTATAAATTTTATGATGGGTGCAGATCCTAGAATGCCTCCCACTTTACTTCAGGCTCCTATTACATGTAGTTAATTTCAACCCCATTGAGGTGCCTAAAATTAGCACTATGGCAGTGTGGGACTGTATATAATAATCAAATCATTTCATCTCACAATAATTTTCATCCCCAACTTGTTAATTGTTGTCAAAGACACATCAAAGCTGACTTGAGAAAACTGCTTTAAAACTTCTAAGTTTTCTCCACTGAGCTAAATGTGTCTTTATGTCTTTGTTTATGCCTTTGTTATTTCTGTTGCAGTTTGGCCTTGGTATTACCATCCTACAGCTTTTACTACATTAAAGCCAAAATAGAAGAACCAATAACTCAGGCCAGATGTAAGTACTTTGAAGGTTCTCTGGGTTCCGACCTACTTCTGACACACAGACATTTTAAAAATTTAATTTTGAAATTCATAGTGTGTGGAGTTCCCTAATGTTATCATAATGTACCCAAAATCTACAGCAATGATTCTAACCCATTGTAAACATTCAAGGTACAAGAAATATTCTACATAGCTAGAATATGTGCAGGTACCCCAACTTTGCTCCTTCCCTTTTGCTATGTACCTATAGAATCATTGCTTTGTGTATCCTCTGTTGGTGTCGTTTTAAGGGTCTGCTAGCTGACATTTAAATATTCCACCTGTTAAATATTAATATATAGGCTATAGAGCAAAGCTTCTTTTCACAGTTTGCAGTAATTACAGTGCTGTATAAAGCAATTTCTCATGCTGCTCTTATAAATATAGTAATATTAGGGGCTATTTAGTTTTGGCTTACAGTTAAGCTTTTATGTTGCACTTTGTAAATAGTTTCCGTGGATGTCTATAGAATCTGATTTGAATGACACTCATTTTAAGCCACTTCCAGGTTCTAGAAAACTGACTGGAAAGAATATGTATGATGTATTTCCAGCTATAAAGTTTTGTTTATTTTGTTTGACCATAGTTGAGCCAGTAAATGAAGCATGAGCCATCAGATCTTTTTAACTTTATCCAAGTGTTAATCCAAATCTGAATGAATTCCATTTTTGCATTTAGAAATATATGTATGTAAAAACTTACTTACAAGGACAAAACATTTTCCACATGTGTTACAAGTCTCCTTGTCAGTCATAGCTGCTATTATCTCAGAGAAGACGTGGTTAGAAGTTGTTTAATTGACAACCATGCCATCTATCATCATATGCAGGGTAGGAGATAACACGATAAGCTTTTACCAACCAGTCATTTTGTATGATTTATTTCTTAACTTTATCAAATAGGAACTAGTGATTAAAGTATTAATGAGTGAAAAAAGTGGTTCTATTTATGGACTAGATCTATTGATGTCGCACCGGCATCAATATACCCTACAAAATAGGCCCTTGAAATAGCCACAGTATATAGAGGTTACCTCAGAAATAATAAACAAGGACATACACTCAGTCTTCAAAGATGTTTGTCTTTTTCCCAGACTACAGCTGTGCATAAATTGAACCTATGATCTATTCACAATATTTTTATTCAAGGGGTGATTGAATAAAATATTGGTTTGTGACCCCTTTTGCTTTACCCTGTTTTTTTCTGTTTCCCTGCTTTCTCTTTCTGATGGATTTTCACAGTCAAAAAGGGCAAGTATATTCTTGTTGCTCAATTTCCTTCTGTTTACTGCAGTTGATATTTTCCACTTATATTTCCATTCCTACTGGACATTCTCCTTTGTATTCTTCATTTCTGGACTTCTCCCATGATCATTGGGTACCATAGCAACAGCAAGGGGGAGGGGACTCTATAAAATGTTTTTGTGTTTTCATGCACATTTCAATTTGTTGCTAATCTCTAATCCCTGTTTGTCTGATCCTGTCCACCTGTTGGTTCATGCTGATGCTCAGATATATCATTCCTTTTTTTCAGACCACTCTTTTCAATAACATTGAAAGGGACTTATTGTAAAAGTGATGCTTTATACCTTTATTGATGAAAATATTAGAGATAAATGTTTTCCTTGATGTTCTCAATCCTAAACATTCCAAGTATTTTGAATGATCACATTGTAATGATAATGGAAATGTCACATATACTTTGGATTATCATATTGTCATGATAATGAAACAATGACTCAGACTTAACTTGCTTCTATTGTTCTGTTATTGCTTGATGTATTGCTGTATAATAATCAGATCATTTCTTCCTGCAATGTGGAATACTGATGATGGTATAGTACATTTGTTAGAAAAATGTTCTTTAGAGATCACATATTTTAAAATTCACAGATGCATGCAGAAATTATCCAAGTAATTTTACAAAGTTCTGTTTACTTATCTGATATTCAACCTTCATCTTTGTAGATTCAGAAACTCTAAAGATTGATCACTTTGATGAAGCTGGCTATACCTTTATAGCACCAAGGTTGGTCAATTTCCCAGTTCTAAGCATTATACACAGCAGTAAATAAGAAGTCTTGATCAGGTTAGTGACATTTATGAAGCATGGACTTGCCCAATAAAACTTAATTTTGCACATGAAATGTGCTGGGGGAAATTGTTAAGTATAAGAACAATGGTTAAACTCAGATTTCCAAGTTTAGATATCATTTTTATAGGAAGAATATGGATAACATCTTCTCAGGCTACTTCATCTCATAGTTTATCATATAGCAGTCCATACTTTGCAGTGTTATAATATTTGGAAGGATAAAAGAAAAAAGTGCTACCTCCAACTAAGCCTCATTTATTTATTTATTGAAAGATAGTGTGGTCTAGTGAATACAGCATTGGGATTCAGGAGTTCTTAATTCTATTGCTGGATCCAGATGATATTTGACAAACTGGCTTAACCTATCCATGCCTCAGGTTCCCCACTTGTAAAATCAGTATAATAATACTTATCTCTTTTGTAAAGGCTTTTGAGGTTTAAGGATGAAGAGTATTTCCATAAGAGCTACGATAGCAATTGTTGGGTGTAACGCCATTGACTTCAGTGGAGTAAGGGCATTAGTTTCCTGGGTTTTCCCAAGGAATTCTACTTTCCTAGTCCATTGTATTTGTGCAACAGAAACATATTAGTATAAATACTCTTGCATCCGAAGAAGTGGGCTATAGTCCACGAAAGCTTATGCTCTAATAAATTTGTTAGTCTCTAAGGTGCCACAAGTACTCCTGTTCTTTTTGCGGATACAGACTAACACGGCTGCTACTCTGAAATTCTTGCTTTAGTCAGTCTTTATATGTAGCATCTTAAAAAGACAATGGTGATAAACAATGGAGAAATCATCTATACACAATCAGTCTAGAATGATTCAAACTCATTCTAGCTCAAAAGCTCAAGCTTTTTTAGCACACTAAAGATGTATTCTAAAAGAAATCGCATGTAAAGCAAATAGTTGTGGGGTGTGTTTTTTTTTTTTGTTGGTTGGGCCCCCCTGCCCCCAAACTCAAAGCAATCTAAAACTGATCAGGAGCATTTAATTTTCTTGGAGAGTCGGAGGCATTGATAATGGAATGTAGCATTGATAAATCATACTTGATCCTGCAACTAATATATGTGGGCAGAACCAGGCAAAGAGCCCCATTGAATTGCTGACCATAGGACTGGGGTCTAAATTCTGCCTGGGTTCTTTTTGGTCATGGTGTAATAAGTGAATGGCAGGAAGGTGGGTTCTTTCTAAAGAAATGTTTGAACCAACTTTTCCCTTTGCATAGCATATACATGGTATTTTGAAAATGAGCTACTTCCCTATAGCACTGGTAATTGTTCAACACCTATCTTCTCTTTATCATTTACTCTCCTATGGAAAATCTAGTGCATATTTTAATATGAAATGAATGCATTTAATGCCGCTTGCTAGCTAATGTTTCCCCTTAAAGTGAACAGTGATTTTTAGCATACTTACTTATGGCTCTGCTTCAGAGAATCACACGAGGTATGTGGTCATACCAAATATGTGTAAATAAACCTACTTTACCCAGGTGAATTTTGTGGGGGGAGGGAGTAGTTAGTCTCTAATTCAGTTTTAATAGTGTACAATCGCCAGTCAAGGGCCTCCAATCTTAAGAGGTCATTTAAACAATAAGATTTCCAGTATATTTTGGCTGAAGATTGCCTCTACTTAACCAATAATTTAGGTTGCTCCCTTGGCTGGGTCACTTAAAACACTTTAGAAGATGGCGAGGAAACTGGTCTCTTCCTATTGAATTCTGCAAAGAGGGTAAACGGAATTTTGCAGAATCCTGTTCCATTGTCTGTTATAATATACTATCACTAATCTGAGGGTCTGCAAAGCTCTGCCTGGCTTGCAGGAAATGCGAGCCATTTCTGATAGCACCAGTCGCACCTGAAACAAACTAACAAGATTGATGTTTTGTTGTTTTTCAGAGAATACTGTAATGATGTAAAAGTATCATACAACAACACTGAATTTCTTTTAAATTTCAATGAGTTTATTGATCGAAATACCCCAAACAGCCCTTCATGTAAGTATTCTATTCCATTCACTAAAATTATTTTCACAGGGAGATATAAAAATATGAAAACCGCTGCAAGACAATAGCTTTCACTATGCCAGTGTTTTAAGATTGTTTTCTGTATTTATTTGCTTAATGGAATTACATACAGGCCAGAGCATTGAACTTATCAGAGGTTTTATTTATATCCAAGAGAGCACTGGTAAGATTGGTTTGCAGATTGCTGTGACCATCGAGAAATCTCCCTAAATAATATGAAGCAAAATGTATTCAACAACTTACAAACTTCCCTCATGGATTGTTTTCCAGCAGCATCCAAAATGCCAGTCAGTTCCCTTCTACACTCCCTCACTGTTTCTGGTTCACATTTTTGTCAGCCAACACAATGCCACAGGCAGAATTTAAAAGAAAAAAAAATCTTTGTCTTCTATCTAATATTTACCGACATCCACAGTCAGTTTCAACACTGGCCTAAGGGTATAAAGACCTTTCAGATAGATCCGTTCTGAAGATTGTAGCATATCCCTTCAAATAGTTTGTGAGCCCTCTAGTGGGCCTTTTATTTCAGAAGGCACCAGAAACTAACAGAGTAGGTGTGGAAGCGCATGCTAAGCATTCTATGCTTGCTATCGTTAGTAAACATGGTTATTCGGAACCCAGCTTTGTCCGTGTGTATTCTTCCTATTCTGAATGTTGTGTAGAGAGTAAAGACACAATTATTGTTAGGGTCTGGTGGCTTCTACAGCAGAAGACAGGGAGGTCCACTAGAGGGCTCACAGACATATTCCTGTTCACTACAAAAGACATATTCCTTTTATAGTTTTGCTTTATCATTTCCCTTCATGTGCATGGATTCCATTGAATTTTGAAGTCTGGGTACTGGAACGAGTGCTTACAAATGGAACATGCAGTATTCCTGTAAAATAAACAAGACATAGGATGGCAATTTGTTAGATCCTAGCTCAAAAAACCATTCCATGACATCGATGATCTCTCCAATTATCACCCTAGTGCAAATCTTCTTCTGTTAGGGAAAGTTGCTGAGAAAGATGTGGCAGAGCAGGTCTGGCAGCAGCTGGAGCCCTCGGGTCTACTTGACACCGCCACTATGATTCAGAGAATGGAGAGAGTACACGGATTATGTTATTTAATGCTGTCTCCCTCCTGATGAACATATATCAGACGCCTGAGATATTCATTAAGATCCATCAGCTGTTTTTAGTGCCATTGACAAACCTTCTGACGGAGCCAAGAGCAGATGGCATCTCTCTTGAGTTGCTCCAATCCTTTCTTTGTCCGGCTATGCTGGAAGAAGGACAGGAGATGCTGGGTGTGGTCTAATTAGGCCACAATTTTATTCTTAAATGTTTGGGAGTACCTGGCACATAAGTATACAGTGCAGGTAATTCCAAGATCCTTTCACATATACCTGGGGGCTTCTGTCAGCACATTCCCAGCCAATCTGTTGCTGGGACCTCAACATCCATCCCCTCTTGAATGAGGGTTAAGAGGGGATTATAAAGGATGGGGGCTGGCTCCTGGCTGTACCAGTCATAGGATCCCCAAACTACTCTCTCCCCCTCCCCGTTTTCACTCCTTTATAAATCCATTTTATCTGATCCCTGCATGCATTCTTTACGGAGTACCTCCTGTTTCATGTTTGTCTCAGCTAATCCCCCCCCCCCCGCCCCATCCCAGCCCCGAACCAATTGTGGTGAACGTGGAAAAAACTCACTTCGCCTTGGCTAGTCTGGCGGTGAGGAAAAATTCCTTCCCAGTCCTGCGAGAAAGGAGCAAATAGCGCAATGCCTACAGCGGATCCTGATAAAACCCAGAATTGTATCACTTCCCTGGGTAGGAGGTGGGTGCTGCTCTGCCAGGTCCAGGTAACGGAGGGCTTTTACTGGGAGGGAGATGATGGAGTCTTAGCCACACACCTACACAGACAATCCACTTCCGGGGCTTGGATCACTTCTGACAGCACTGGCGGACCTTGACTCTGATGTGACCCCAACACTTTGAACCCCAGTTTTGGCTGCCTCCTCTGTAAATTTACTGGGGTGGAGGAAGGGGCTTTCTATTTCTCTTCTCCACTCTAGTTCTCCCATAAAGAGCCAATCAAAATCTGCCCCTAACTGTATAGAATTGAGGTTGCTCAGTCACTTTCTACATTGAGGCAAAACAGTTGCCATTAAATTTGCTACTGATTAGAGGAGAGGGCATGGGCTCCTAGGTTCTGTGATTGACCCTTCCATTGGCTTGCTGTCACTTTCACTGGGCAAGTCACTTCAGACCTGATCCTGTTGTCAATGGAGCCAGCAACAAAAGTCCCATGGACTTCAATGGTGCAGGATTGTGCCTCTGTTTAAACTTAGCTGCCTGCAAAATGGGGTTCCTTTAGTCAATGTCTGTTAAGCATTTTCCTTGGGTGAATGCAATCTGCCATTATAATTTATTATTTAGTATTTGTTAAGCACCAGCTGTCTGCTTGATTCTGTACAAGGACAGAGAAGCTTACATGTTTAATAGACGAAATATGCAGGAAAACCCAGAGGAAGGTTCAATCATAGAATGAGTATTTTGTACTTAGTTGTCTTCTTTAAGGCCCCAATCCAGCAAACCCCACAAGCATGTGCTTAACTTAAATGACATATAGTTCTGAAAGTCAAGGTGGTCTACTCTCATGATTATGTGTGTTACTTGATCAGGCCTAAGTGAAGTTCTTCTTTGGAAAGTACAAGTGGCATTGCCTGGTCCCGTGTTTATTGTCTGTCAGTGATTTCCATATCAACTATGTCAGTTCACAAATAAAAAAGACATTTTTCTTTTTGTCACCTCTGCAAATTCAGCCGCACTTTTGGAGTTAAACTTGATTCTTTACAGCTCATGCATCATCACCAACAATAAAGATACTGTGGGCCAAATTAGGGTTATACCTGGGAACGCCTTTTGTTTTCAAGTCATGCAGTAAGTTTCACCCATGCAAAAACATTGCCTTCAGTGGGTTTGCTGACTGACTGGAATTTAATACAAAAAAATAATAATGTCTAGATGCACAAGATGGAATAGAATTCCGAACTCAGCCTTAGCTTTGTTTGCTCAACTGGGAAAGCAGGAAAAAGCATATGTTTGTCACTAAATGCACAAAAGTTGCTTTTTCACAGATGTTACTCTGAATATAAAAAGGAAACAGATCTCCGAATAGTAAAAGCATGTCATTTTTACATTCTGATTTTTCAGAGTAGAATGAACAATATTTTAATATAAGAAGCTTAGTCTTACAATAGGTGCACTTAAATAGTTCACTCCTCTTTGGGATGTGTTACCAGTAGTATTCCCCATTGTAAATATGGAAATATTCTTGGAAATGATAATAGTTCTAAAATTGGAATGAATTTATTAAATGCATCCACTGTATATTTCTGTTGTTAAAGACATCAGTTAAACATTACCATTCAAGAAAATTTCAAAGAAGATTTTAATGGCTATATTCATTTGAGTGCCTATCTCCTGTTAGCATTGCTAGAGGTTTTAAAGAGACATGGAGAGAAAAATACACCTCTTGTGATCTGTCATGATATGGGATCAATTATCATGAAAGCCGAAGGGATATCAGATTCTAAGCACTACTATGGGGTAGTTTTCATCCAAAGGGAACTGCAGTAAAAATGTCTTTACTTTGTTAGACCACCTAGCTGGAATAATCTGCAACAAGATATGAAATCCTCTCACAATGTAACTATCTTTAAGGCTAATTTATTTTCTTAATTGTCCACACATTTGTTTTATCAGATGATGTATTATGGTTGTATAATGTATGACTGTAACTTTGAGTGTGTCCCCTGAGTCAGTCTTAGAAATGAGATTATTCATCTCAAATGACTTAACCCAGAAAGAAATTTTAATAAATGAAAACTCTAAGCTAATAGCCTACATTAGTTTATAATTGAGTATTGAGGATACATTAGTGTCAGCATGGTACACACTAGGGCTTAGAGAGTAATTAAACCATACAGCACATTGTCAAATTACTGCCAGCTCTCAGATTTGAATTCACAATGATATTTGAATTTATTTTCCTAATTGTTTTATTTTTTTCATAACTGTAACTTAAACAGGTACTTTCCTGAATGCTTAAGATAACAGTGTTGACTAAAGTAATGTGTAATAATCCTTCTTGGAGATTATCCTTAACAAAAAATTGTCTTTAAAAGGGAATAGCTAATACCATCTATAAGGTTATCTAATTCATATGTAGGACATAGCTTTAATTTTCATTACTTTTTACAGCTAAACGTTTAGGGACTGATCGAGTCATATTCAGAACTCCCATTTGGCTTCAGTGGAAATTTGGACCAAGTATGGAACTAGCCCTGGTAATATTCAGCACAGTCCCTGATCTCTTCTCATTATTTTCAGCTGGACAGGTTACTTTTAATCAAATACCTTGTCCTTGTTATGTACCTTAGTATGGCTCTGTCCAAATGACTTGGATCTTACCATCCCTGTTTCTGCAAACAATCACCTCTGTAAATTTAATTCCATGAGTTCCAAGTAATTGGAGTCCTTACGTGAATAAGGTTGTGAAGGATTGCAGCTAAACAGGTTGGGTTTAGCAGGATAATGTAAATATGTCCTAATTAAGATTAAAGTAATTCATTAAAATGGGATTGAAGCAGTGCTGTCTACTGGTTAGAGCATGGCCTAGAAGTTGATTGCGTTGATGTTTGTAGTAGAGATCATTACAAATTCAAATTTTAAAGTGGATTTACTGAAAGCTTTTTTGCAAAGGTTCACGGACTGATTTATGATTTTGCATAAGAGTAGTAGAGAATGAATAGAGTAAATGTGAAATGCAGAAAAACTTGGGTGGTTTTGACCATGGGTCATTTTGAGTTCATTTGAGTCCAAAGGTAAGAATGAAACTTGAGGCATAAGAAATAATATCATAGAAAAAGTTTGCGATATCCTCTGCAGTGAAACCACAGAGTTCGGTGCAATTCAGATTGGGAGTCTGAACTCCCTAGTTCTAATCCCAATTCAACTGCTGCCTCACTGAGTGGCCTGAGAGTCTTTCTGTTTACTTCATTGGGCTTTGGTTCAGCCATTGTTTTATTTTCCACAGCTGTAAAATTGGGTACTATAATATTTACCTAAATCACTAGGGTACTGTAAAGAACTTTCTGTTACAAAGTTGTCTCCAAAATAGAAGAGCTTGAGAAGCACTGACCTCTGAATAGCTTTTCAAGGGTATAGCCTTAGATGTTCTGTTGGTGAGAGATAGGGTGACCAGATGACAGAAGTGAAAAATCGGGACGCGGGGGGTGGGGGGGCAAAAAACAAGCCCCTCCCCTGTGCGCGCCTGGAACCCCCCCCAGCACCAGAGGGTGCGCTCAGGCCACGTCCCCCAGCCCCCTCCCTCCACCCGCTCTCGGCCAACTGTCTCCCCTCCCGCTCCGCTT